CACTTGTCCTCTCCCGTTAACTCCATGGAATGTGAACTCACTCTGAGTGAGACTGACCAAGTGAGTGATTCTGGTTTACTTCAGGACACCTAGTTAGTGCAGCACTCCAAAGTAACAGTGGGTCCCTCACTGCAGGGGTCCAACCTCATGCACTAATGAGCCTTAAGAGATTAAGGGCAGCTAAATAAGGTTTTTATCCTACATTTTTGATGGCTCAAGGCAATCAGCTGTAATACATCTTGGAAGTGAAGCTATCAATGACTTAATCCAGGCAAATACTGCTTTAGCAGTGACTGTCCAGGAATCACTTTTAGAAGTAGTTATGAGTCCTTGGGTCCATTTTTCCCTTTCAGAGAAGTCTTTCCAAAAGCAAACAGGATAAAAAAAACATGAAGCAAAACTGCAACATGAGTTCTATCACTTACTTTGTAATGTAAGGAAACATAGCAATTAATGCAACAGAGAGAAAAACAGCAGCAAAACAGAGCAAGTAGCTATTAAAACATTAAAGTAACCTTTGCACTGAGATCAGCTGGTGTTAGAAGTGAAGTGGGGAAGGAGGGAAAGAGAAAGAAAAGACAGTTGGACTATGATGTGCTATATTGTATATATATATTTCCATCTCTTCGCTCTTGCCCCAAGAGCAAATGTGCAGTGTTTTGGAAGGTGAAGAGGAATTCCAGAAGGTACTAGAGCTTGAGAGCAAGAACATATAACACAAGGAGTGGAGATCTATGCACAGATGACTACCCAGCAGAGAACAGACCAATATCATGGTTTCTTCTTAGACAATCAGAGTGGTCACATAAAATAACGGAGCAGTAGGCTTTGCTCTGAAGGCAGAACAGAAACCTTGGTACTTGGGGAAAAAACACTCAAAACTATATCTTTTAAAAAAATTTTTAAAGCCTCTTGGATTAACACCCAACATATGGTCTCAAGAAACCTGAATGACGTTTTTTCAAAAAGAAAAGGAGTACTTGTGGCACCTTAGAGACTAACCAATTTATTTGAGCATGAGCTTTCGTGAGCTACAGCTCACTTCATCAGATGTTTACCGTGGAAACTGCAGCAGACTTTATATACACACAGAAATCATGAAACAATACCTCCTCCCACCCCACTGTCCTGCTGGTAATAGCTTATCTAAAGTGATCAACAGGTGGGCCATTTCCAGCACAAATCCAGGTTTTCTCACCCTCCACCCCCCCCACACAAATTCACTCTCCTGCTGGTGCTAGCCCATCCAAAGTGACAACTCTTTACATAATCAAGTCGGGCTATTTCCTGCATAGATCAAGGTTTTCTCACATCCCCCCCCACCCCCATACACACACAAACTCACTCTCCTGCTGGTAATAGCTCATCTAAACTGACCACTCTCCAGGTTTAAATCCAAGTTAAACCAGAACATCTGGGGGGGGGGGTAGGAAAAAACAAGAGGAAACAGGCTACCTTGCATAATGACTTAGCCACTCCCAGTCTCTATTTAAGCCTAAATTAATAGTATCCAATTTGCAAATGAATTCCAATTCAGCAGTTTCTCGCTGGAGTCTGGATTTGAAGTTTTTTTGTTTTAAGATAGCGACCTTCATGTCTGTGATTGCGTGACCAGAGAGACTGAAGTGTTCTCCGACTGGTTTATGAATGTTATAATTCTTGACATCTGATTTGTGTCCATTTATTCTTTTACGTAGAGACTGTCCAGTTTGACCAATGTACATGGCAGAGGGGCATTGCTGGCACATGATGGCATATATCACATTGGTGGATGTGCAGGTGAACGAGCCTCTGATAGTGTGGCTGATGTGATTAGGCCCTGTGATGGTGTCCCCTGAATAGATATGTGGGCACAATTGGCAACGGGCTTTGTTGCAAGGATAAGTTCCTGGGTTAGTGGTTCTGTTGTGTGGTATGTGGTTGTTGGTGAGTATTTGCTTCAGGTTGCGGGGCTGTCTGTAGGCAAGGACTGGCCTGTCTCCCAAGACTTGTGAGAGTGTTGGGTCATCCTTTAGGATAGGTTGTAGATCCTTAATAATGCGTTGGAGGGGTTTTAGTTGGGGGCTGAAGGTGACCGCTAGTGGCGTTCTGTTATTTTCTTTGTTAGGCCTGTCCTGTAGTAGGTAACTTCTGGGAACTCTTCTGGCTCTATCAATCTGTTTCTTTACTTCTGCAGGTGGGTATTGTAGTTGTAAGAAAGCTTGACAGAGATCTTGTAGGTGTTTGTCTCTGTCTGAGGGGTTGGAGCAAATGCGGTTGTATCGCAGAGCTTGGCTGTAGACGATGGATCGTGTGGTGTGGTCAGGGTGAAAGCTGGAGGCATGCAGGTAGGAATAGCGGTCAGTAGGTTTCCGGTATAGGGTGGTGTTTATGTGGCCATTGTTTATTAGCACTGTAGTGTCCAGGAAGTGGATCTCTTGTGTGGACTGGACCAGGCTGAGGTTGGTGGTGGGATGGAAATTGTTGAAATCATGGTGGAATTCCTCAAGGGCTTCTTTTCCATGGGTCCAGATGATGAAGATGTCATCAATATAGCGCAAGTAGAGTAGGGGCTTTAGGGGACGAGAGCTGAGGAAGCGTTGTTCTAAATCAGCCATAAAAATGTTGGCATACTGTGGGGCCATGCGGGTACCCATAGCAGTGCCGCTGATCTGAAGGAATACATTGTCCCCAAATGTGAAATAGTTATGGGTAAGGACAAAGTCACAAAGTTCAGCCACCAGGTTAGCCGTGACATTATCGGGGATAGTGTTCTTGACAGCTTGTAGTCCATCTTTGTGTGGAATGTTGGTGTAGAGGGCTTCTACATCCATAGTAGCCAGGATGGTGTTATCAGGAAGATCACCGATGGATTGAAGTTTCCTCAGGAAGTCAGTGGTGTCTCGAAGGTAGCTGGGAGTGCTGGTAGCGTAGGGCCTGAGGAGGGAGTCTACATAGCCAGACAATCCTGCTGTCAGGGTGCCAATGCCTGAGATGATGGGGCGCCCAGGATTTCCAGGTTTATGGATCTTGGGTAGTAGATAGAATATCCCAGGTCGGGGTTCCAGGGGTGTGTCTGTGCAGATTTGATCTTGTGCTTTTTCAGGAAGTTTCTTGAGCAAATGCTGTAGTTGCTTTTGGTAACTCTCAGTGGGATCATAGGGTAATGGCTTGTAGAAACTCGTGTTGGAGAGCTGCCGAGCAGCCTCTTGTTCATATTCCGACCTATTCATGATGACAACAGCACCTCCTTTGTCAGCCTTTTTGATTATGATGTCAGAGTTGTTTCTGAGGCTGTGGATGGCATTGCGTTCCGCATGGCTGAGGTTATGGGGCAAGTGATGCTGCTTTTCCACAATTTCAGCCCGTGCACGTCGGCGGAAGCACTCTATGTAGAAGTCCAGTCTGCTGTTTCGACCTTCAGGAGGAGTCCATCTAGAATCCCTCTTTCTGTAGTGTTGGCAGGGAGACCTCTGTGGATTAGTATGTTGTTCAGAGGTATTTTGGAAATATTCCTTGAGACGGAGACGTCGAAAATAGGATTCTAGGTCACCACAGAACTGTATCATGTTCGTGGGGGTGGAGGGGCAGAAGGAGAGGCCCCAAGATAGAACACTCTGGATGACCCAACACTCTCACAAGTCTTGGGAGACAGGCCAGTCCTTGCCTACAGACAGCCCCGCAACCTGAAGCAAATACTCACCAACAACCACATACCACACAACAGAACCACTAACCCAGGAACTTATCCTTGCAACAAAGCCCGTTGCCAATTGTGCCCACATATCTATTCAGGGGACACCATCACAGGGCCTAATAACATCAGCCACACTATCAGAGGCTCGTTCACCTGCACATCCACCAATGTGATATATGCCATCATGTGCCAGCAATGCCCCTCTGCCATGTACATTGGTCAAACTGGACAGTCTCTACGTAAAAGAATAAATGGACACAAATCAGATGTCAAGAATTATAACATTCATAAACCAGTCGGAGAACACTTCAATCTCTCTGGTCACGCAATCACAGACATGAAGGTCGCTATCTTAAAACAAAAAAACTTCAAATCCAGACTCCAGCGAGAAACTGCTGAATTGGAATTCATTTGCAAATTGGATACTATTAATTTAGGCTTAAATAGAGACTGGGAGTGGCTAAGTCATTATGCAAGGTAGCCTGTTTCCTCTTGTTTTTTCCTACCCCCCCCCCCCCCCAGATGTTCTGGTTTAACTTGGATTTAAACCTGGAGAGTGGTCAGTTTAGATGAGCTATTACCAGCAGGAGAGTGAGTTTGTGTGTGTATGGGGGTGGGGGGGATGTGAGAAAACCTTGATCTATGCAGGAAATAGCCCGACTTGATTATGTAAAGAGTTGTCACTTTGGATGGGCTAGCACCAGCAGGAGAGTGAATTTGTGTGGGGGGGTGGAGGGTGAGAAAACCTGGATTTGTGCTGGAAATGGCCCACCTGTTGATCACTTTAGATAAGCTATTACCAGCAGGACAGTGGGGTGGGAGGAGGTATTGTTTCATGATTTCTGTGTGTATATAAAGTCTGCTGCAGTTTCCACGGTAAACATCTGATGAAGTGAGCTGTAGCTCACGAAAGCTCATGCTCAAATAAATTGGTTAGTCTCTAAGGTGCCACAAGTACTCCTTTTCTTTTTGCGAATACAGACTAACACGGCTGTTCCTCTGAAACCTGTTTTTTCAAAACTAGATTCTTAATGCACCTCCTCATTCTGCTTGACAGAATCAGAGTGAATCCAACTATATGAACTTTATCTCAATCACAGTAAGTGAAACGTACTCTTTGCAAACCATTATTGTGACTTTATTTTGCTTCCTGAAACAATGCAAAATCAAATCAGCTCTTCATAGTTATATGTACCTTACATGTGAACCTACAGTACTAAACTTGACACATTTGCATTGTCCCCAAAGGTTTCAGAAAGATCTCTTTTGTAAAGTAGTATACAATACAGTATACCTCACAATACAGGAATAGGAGGGGATTTACCTGAGGCACACCAATCTTTCTGCAAGCTTCCAGGAAATTCTCCACATTTCGTCTGCATTTTGCCATTGTTAGCTTAGGCTGCAAAGAAACAGGAGAAGAAGGCATACAAAGTTTTTAATTGGCAGGATTTTTAAAAATAAAGCTTTTGGGTTAAATAAACGACTAATATAGCTGCAGTCCAAAAACACATTATGATGACATAAGCTTATCTAACTTAAAACAGAGCTCAACATTTCCTTAGAAAGGCAGGCATGAAGTGAAAAGCTAACTCGTGAAGTGCTGAGATGAACATTTTAATGGAAAGAGTATTTTGATCTGTGCAAAATATACACACAAAGTGTTATAAAATAGGCTGCACATTTGGTGTCTATTTTGAGTGGCTGCAATAACCTAATCTTAAAAATACATTTAGAATAAAACATCCATCCATCGCTCCAGTACGGTGACCTTTGAATTTCAGAGTAATTTTATGATGTGAACCAACCTGGAGCCTATTCTGAGTTATTAAGTTATATACAGGTTTAAAATGTATTTCAGTTAAAGAGGTACAAAAAGAGCCAGATGAAACCAGAGAAAATGGAAACTGCTGCCTAAGTTCCTTACAAGTGTGTTTCATGTGGTTAACAGCAGAGTTCTAAATTATATTTATCAGATTCTTCTTGAATAATGGGTATTTTCTGGTAAACTTCAACACTTTTACACAGACCTTAACTACTGGAAAAAAAATAGACTAGACAAACAGAAACAAGACATAAGATGCCCCTTTTCTCCCTTGTGCTGGCTACCCACATTGTGGGTAACAGCGGACTGGGCAGCTTCTGTGAGGCTAATATTCCCCCCTCTAAGCAGGTGGGTGGTAAGCTGGTGGAGCTTCGGCTCCACACCCTCAATGTGCCAGACAGCACAGCTGAGCTGGTACAGAGGGGTAAATAATCTGTGCCAGGTTGAGGGTTGATGTAGATTTCCCTCTACTAGAGTAATGAGGAAAAACAGAGAGCATATTATGGCTGAGTCACAATATAACCCCATTCCACTCTCAGGCCACTGCAACTATATGCTGCCTCTTACTCAGGGCTTGTGGCAACGCCATGATTTAGCTCACAATGTAGACTTGGAACCATCCAATTCCACAGAGGACAGGGCACAGAGAATATCTTCATTATGAAGTGAGTTTACTGAATAGCAGCTATAGACATCCATTTTTCGAGGATTCTGTCATCTGCCTAAAATGCCATCATATCTGTTTAGTCTGTTATCTAAACTATGGGGACATCTGCATGATCAAACAAGGCCACAGGAGACACGCCGTAATGATATGGTACGCAATGCTGTAAGTGCCAGTTCGAGTTTTAACACAAGTACTGTCTCCAAAATAAGTCAAAGCAAAACTTAACATACATTTTTCAACATTTTCCCCAGTGACTCCCTTTGGTTTTCTTTCTTTATTTATATGGTCATTCACCTTGTTTTAAAACTGTAACAAGCACAAAATCTGCCTTTATGAGAGCAAAATGCACATTATATATTCAAAATACACTTGTATATTTCAAGTAGGCAAGAGCCCACAGGGGGTGGTGTCTTGTATAGCCCTGTTGGAATCTAACTTATGAAGCACACCTGTGGGTTTGCTACAAGCAGTAAGGGAAGGCAGACAATTTCCCATGCTCCACTGATCTTCAAGTTGTCCTTTAGGTTGCCTAAAAAGACTCCAACGAAATGAACAAACTTGCCACAACAACAGGATCAATACTGTAAGTGACTCCTCTTCATTTCCTGATTCTCATATCTTCTCTAGCCACATGTGGTATTTTGGTGGTACACATTTTTAGTTGCCGTTGATGAAGTTATAGATACAGGTACTTTTCCTGCATTACTTTCCAAAACTTCTAAAGCACTGTCCAAAATGTTGCAGTCAGGCAACACAGAAGTATCTTCTTAAGCAATTTCTATTGCTGGGTGTACTTCCTGCTACAAACACTCCCAGAATACACAAAGATTAAGTTCCTGTCCTACTGTTCCCACAAGTGTGTGTCTGGGCTTCTATGCGTTGTGCTCCAGGGACTTTGAACAATCTGATCAATATGCCCTATCAAAATTCCTAAGAGAAAGAGTTGATGGTAATTTAAGTGGATCCAGGAATGGGAGTCTATTCACGTCAATTGAGATGGAATTCCGATTCCCTATTTCTTTCTTATGTTTTCTGTATTGTGTTGCCACACATCCATTTAAATGCTATATATCCCAGCTATCTGTCCTTTTCTGTTTCTAAGACCTTTTGACCCTCTGAAATACCCTGTTTTGGTTCTCATATTGAATCCTGCCTTTTGTTTTACTAAAATATAAAGTTCTCAAGTCCTATAAGTAGTTCAAATAATAAAATATGTGTTAGAAGTAACTATTTAAAATAGACAAACACAAATGTCACTAGTTTTTTATGACTTTGTTACACATTCTGCTTAGGCAAAGGAGACTGGTATTTTGTTATCTCTGCCCAACATCAGAAAGAGATGTTACATGTAGTCCTCACATGGACTATGAAACACTATGATGGGACCCAGACAACTACAACACACTGTTACATCTTTGTATACTTACTACAGCAGGAGAGGGGACATGGATGCTGGGAACAGATCGAGGCCACACATGATTGGCTAAGTGGCAGAGAACAACTCCATCAGTAAGAGCTGCTCCAAGATCACTGGGCAAAGACACTTTTAACCGTGACTCAATATTCTACAAAAGAATGAAAATTATGTATCACACAAAGCAAATAAGAATACAATTAAATGATTAAATACAGCTGCTCTTCTCAACCTGATTTATTCTGCAGCACATTTCACAAGAGCAGAACCTCTCATGGATCAACAACCCTCTTAATTCTCTGGGGCTTGGTTCTCAAAAGGTTTCATTCTGTGGACCACCAGGATTCACAACTGACCACAGTTTGAAAGCTACTGAGCTAAAAGACAAATGGAGTTTTCACAGTGCAGCACATGGAACTAAAATCCAGCAACGGAGATAAAAAGAACGTTACTCAAAATCGATGAAAACCACAAATCCCAGGGTGAGTAATCAAGGTCCAAGAAATATATTCCACATCCTCCAGGTACTCAGAGAGTAGATGTACTATGAAAATAGTTGTCTTAAAGTGTAGGAGTGGAATGTAGTCACCAGAGGCAAGAGATAATATTTTCCCTGCAAAGGAAAACTGAACTACTACATTTAATCAGTTTAAGTTATCTTAAGCAGGAAAAGGCAATGAAGTGTAGTGGTTACACGAGAAGAGAACAGGGTTCCAATTCACGGGTTCTATTCTGGTCTCATTCAATATATCATTTGCAGTCAAGCTGTAGCGGTGTTGGTCCCAGGATATTAGCAAGACAAGGTTGGAGAAGTAATAGCTTTTATTGGACCAACTTCTGTTCGTGAAAGAGACAAGCTTTCGAGCTACACAAAGCTTAGAGCCTGCCTATTTCATTCAGTGTATGACCCTTGGCAAATCACTCTTCTGTATTTCAGTTTATATATCTGCAAAATGAGTTTGGTTTTACACTTAAAACTAGGAAGTAGGTTGTGAGGCTCAAAATATGCAAAGTCCTTTCAGATCAACAGATCAAAGGAGCTAGAGCTACACATCAGTACAAAATATTATTTAGAGAACATGCTGGGTTATGGTTTCCTTTAAGTCAGGGCTGGGCAAACTACAGCCCGTGGGCCGGATCCAGCCCGCAAGCCGTTTTAAGCCGGCCCGCGAGCCGCACCTCACAGCTCGGCCCCGCTCCGGCCGGGGCGCTGGGTCAGGGCCAGACCATGCAGCTTGGCCCCGCTCCGGCGGTCCGGCCGGGGCGCTGGGTCGGGGGGCCGCACCAGCGGATAGGCTGCGTTCCAGCCGGGGCGCTGGGTTGGGGGCTGCACCAGCAGCTGGGCCCCGCTTCATCACTGGGTTGGGGCCGGACCACGCGGCTCGGCCCTGTTCCGGCCTGGACGCTGGGTCAGGGCTGGACCATGCAGCTCTTCCCTGCTCTGGTGCTCCAGCCAGGATGCTGGGTCGGGGCCCCATCATGTGGGTTGGACCCACTCCGGCACTCCAGCTGGGGTGCTGGGTTGGTGCCGCACCACGCGGCTCAGCCCCACTCTGGTGCTCCAGCCAGGGCACAAGGCTGGGGGCTGCACCATGCAGCTCCCGGAAGCCACGGCATGGCCCCACTCTGGCTCCTACGCGCTCCAATGGGAGCTGCAGGGGCAGTGCCTGCGGATGGGGCAGCCGCCTGGCCGTGTCTCCGTGTAGGAGCCGGAGAAGGGACATGCCACTGCTTCCAGGAGCAGCTTGAGGTAAGTGCCACTCAGAGCCTGCACCCCCCTGAGCCTCTCCCCACACCCCAACCCCCTGCCCCAGCCCTGATCCCCCTCCCGTTCTCCAAACCCCTTGATCCCAGCCCGGAGCACCCTCCTGCACCTCAAACCTCTCATCCCCAGCCGGAACCCGCACCCCTGCCTCAGCTCTGATCCCCCTCCTGCCCTCCAAACCCCTCGGTCCCAGCCCAGAGCACCCTCCTACACCCCAAACTCCTCATCCCCAGCCCCACCCCAGAGCCCAAACCCCAATCCCAATTTTGTGAGCATTCATGACCCGCCATACAATTTCTATTCCCCAAAGTGGCCCTTGGGCCAAAAAGTTTGCCCACCCCTGCTTTAAGTTCATGAGTGGAAGAAAAAAATCCATTCCGGTGAAGTGCTTATATTCACTACTGTATTAGAATCAGCATTTACGGAATGGGTAAGAAGTCTTATTCCTTGACAAAGTCTCAAACAATTACAACGATAACTTACATTTTTAGGTTTCAGAGTAGAAGCTGTGTTAGTCTGTATCTGTAAAAAGAAAAGGAGTATTTGTGGCACCTTAGAGACTAACAAATTTATTAGAGCATAAGCTTTCATGAGCTACAGCTCACTAGTCTCTAAGGTGCCACAAGTATTCCTTTTCTTTTTACATTTCTAGGTAGCTTTCATCCCAAAACATTCCAAACCACTTTACAGACACTTCTAAGAGTCACTTCCTGCACTACAGAAATGCAGCCATCGCTGGGGTGAAACACCGCAGCAGCATAACAGACCATAGCATTTTTATTATTTATTATGTGTACTGTGGTTGTGTAGTGCCAGTCATGGACCACAACTCCACTGTGCTAATTTCTGTACAAATACAGAACAAAAAGACAGTCCCTGCTCCTTAGGGCTTACCCTCTAAGGGCTTGTCTTCACTACCAGGGTAAATTGACCAAAGTTACGTTATTCCAGCTACGTGAATAAGGTAGCTGGAGTCGACGTAGCTTAGGTCAACTTACCCTGGCGTCTTCACTGTGCTGCGTCGACAGGAGACACTCTCCTGTCGATTTAGCAGGTCTTCACTAGACCTGTTAAATCGACACCCGCTGCATCGATTGCAGCAGCATCGATCTCCCTGGTAGTGAAGACAAGCCCTCAGTATAAGACAGGAGACAATAGGTGGATACCGACAGATGGGTAGTAAAACGAAACATGATATTAGGTAGCAGTCGTCTGAGCATACCAACTGCCTAACCATTACCAAGCTTTTTGTAGGCATCATGGCAAAGGAAAGTTTTAAGAAGGGATTTGAAAGAGGACAATGAGGTGGCTTTACGGATGTTTACAGGGAGTTCCTCCCAACTGGGAGGGGCAGCCTGGGAGAAAGCACAAAGATGCTCTTTAAGTCTTCAAACAAATGGGTGATGAACGCTGGCTTCATTGGCAATCAGGTGGGAGTGGACAACTTGACAGTGTATGAGGAGTGACATTACACAACAGGATGAAGATGAAGACTACTGTATCCAACTGGATTTTTAGATTGTGAAGTTACTAACATTTAATCTATCCAAAACACTATGGTTGGCACTGGTTAAATGAAGCAAGTCCAAAATAACGAAGAAACATTTGTCGCATACTTGCAGTGAATTTGCTAAAATGCTTGTACACTAGTTACTGCTAGTACACACCTTCCGCAGTTGCTCTGTTAGTTCCAACTCTTCCTCACGTTGCTTGGAGTTCTGCCTTGCTCTAGGGTCTGTAGAATCATTAGGAGGACATGAGGCAGAAGAGGGAGATGAAGCAACAACTAGAAAAACCAGCATGAAGGAAAGTGACAAACTGAGTTTGATTGGGAGGTATTCCTTTAATGCAGTATTACACATGCACAGTACGCAAGTTTGGGTATAGTACATTGCTATTCACAAATTGATTTCCTTCATTTGATTATTAATCTAAGCAAGGCTTAGATGCTGTTAATTTTCTTTTGCCCAATAAACACTTGCATAAAAAGGATTAATTTTAGATAGCTGAAATGTAGCTTTGTACAACTTTCATCAATCTTACTACAAAGGTATGAATTCTGGTATGTACTACAGTACAATGCAAAGTCTATAAAGCTGCCTTTGTCACTATCAAGGGGCTTAATAAATAGCATTACAATAGCCTCTGTATAGGTGAAAGTATAAATCCAGGAGAGCACAACACTAATCTCCCCACACACACACTCCACAAATTTGCACACCATATTCTTTGATATTTGCTAAATTTATTTATTACCAAGACAAAAATACAACTTATTACAAATCGACTTATTACAAATAGGACTATAATGGCTTATTCTAAGAAAGTTTAGCGACTGGTGTCCACAGATAGGTCTCTCAAGCTAATTTCCTGAGAATAAAGCTACTGCCGCCAAGATAATTCAATTGTGCACAAAGTGGTTAACATGGAAGTTAATATAACTTTGTAACACAGTCCAGCTTCTCCAGCTCTATAACCTACCTTTGTTAATTTCATCCCTTACAGCTGCTCGGAAAAGGAAACTCTCAGGTCGCTGGGAAGGGTTTCTATAGGAAGGAGGAGCAGCAGGGCCAGGATACAGAGAGGAAAGATGGACTGAACAAATGTGGAAAGGCACAGGAAAGGAGAGGAGGAGAAAGAAGTAAAAAGGTTACGAGTTTAATAGGAAATGGATTCAGCATTGTAATAATTAAAAGAACAAAATAAAATTATAACCTAATGACAAGATGAATTACAGCCATGCATGATAAAAGCATAGGGCAGAAAGAGGCATCTTCAAGAACACTTGCATGCTAAGCACATTCCATGCACTTTTACCAACAAATTGTTCCATTTTGTATTTAATGTGTCATTAGGGCAACGCCAATGCCAGAGCCTGGAAAATGTGGAGCCCCACCACTTCCCACAGAAGGTGCCAACAGCTCTGTGCTCTGTTTACTTCTGTGACTCAAGAGAGAACTTAACAACAAATCAGACCCACAGACAGAGCAGTCCAGCTTATGGATAGGAATGACATCCTTAACAGTCTACTTATGCAAGCAAGCAATTTAACCTATTTTAGCCCTTCTTTTTAGACTTTTTGCACCTCTCTCCTGTTACCTGTTTGAGTAGTAGGTGAACCTGGTGATATAGTAGATCTGTCATCACTCTGTGGACAAATAAGTAAAACAGCATTAATGATCCTTATTGAGACAGGCTACGACTAGCTTTTCAGAAGTTACCATCCACCTAGACACATTTCAGAAAAAAAAAAATAAGGGAAAAAACAGCCTATTGTTAAAAAAAGATGTACAATAGGCACTTATTTTGCAGAACTGATGGAAGTCGTCTTCTTCAAGGAATAAAATAGTGAAAGAGGTATTGCTTCCAGAAAGGACAGCGGCAGTGCTGTGTTTGAATATTTTTCAGGGTGGGAACAGGGACATTACCTGTTTTTCAATTAAATATCATGCAAAACATGCAAGACAGCAGCTTTGATCCGAATACACAGCCCACTCTAAATCTTTGCAGGAGCAAAATTAGTATTAATTGAATTTCACTCTCCTGCCCACCCTCGGAGTAATATTGTAGTTAGAACTAATGAAAGTGCTGATTAAAGATGAGTTAATGATGGATTAATGATTTCTTGTGATTAAGATTTTTTCTGTTCAATATAATAAAGTTTCTATAGCAGATGACGATGTACAGGATAATCATGATTTATGGTAAGAGTAAACTTGTAAAGAAAAAAAGCAATGACATTTCCAGTAAGCTACAAGTCAGTAGATGTCTTAAGGGGAGATAAAATAGAAGAAATGGTGACAATCAACAAGAATCTAAGAATCAGTCCATACAGGGATTGAAACCCTGCTAGCTACTGACATGTTTGCATGGTTTAGACTCACTGAAGACAGGACCAAAAGCTAAAGCAACGTAAAACTTACTGCAGTTTAATCAGGTCAGTCAAGTTCATAACCTCTGAATTTCAGATTAGAAGCTGACAGACTAACACATATTAAAATAGAATTGTGGATCTGAGTTTTTTTTGTTGGCTTTACTGGTGAATAATAGCTAGAGATACCTTGACAGATCTGAAGGCATTAGGCAGGGTGGTAGCATAGCCCTCTTGATTCAACCCTGACAGCGACTGAACACAGAAAGAAAGAAGGCAGTACCAACGTTAGCGAACAGTTGACAGGATGTGCCCGGGCAAAATGCACCAGTAAGATTAAAAAGTGCAGGTACTTACAAATGTTCAAGTGTTGCAAAGGTATTAGTGGGAAGAGATAAAAATGCCAGAAAATTTATTTGATAAATCTAAAATACAATTAAAATGTTCCATCCTCAAAAATATTAGTCCATTAATTTGAAAGATGGGATGTTTCATTTAAAACAAGAACACAATCACATCAAAAGCAGAACTAAGAACAATCATACTGGTAGAAAGCTCTTCAGTCATATACTGCACTGGTCACCACACTAACTGACACAGAAGCCACTAATCAGAAGGAACAGATTTTTGTACACTTTCAAAATACAAATTTCATGTTGACTTGAATAGGTTGTTTTCCTATTAACTTCATGAATGTGCAGAAAACAACATCACCTGATTGGCTCCAAGGCACAAGAACAGTACTGTGCCTATAAGGAAACACACACCAACATCTGATTATTTTCACAATGAAAAATTTAAAAAGTGATATTTGTGAGTTAAAGGCAAGCAAGGTAAATAAAATCCTAGAGAGAGAAACTAAGCTATCAGAGAAGATGTCCAAAATGAAGCTTTTCAATGCTTTAGTGAGAAAATTGCCATCATATTTTAATAGATGTCAAAGAGGCAGAAGATGAACTACGCTTCATGTTTACACAGTGGTTCTTGCTTTTTCCTGGTAGAAGTTTTTAAACCAACAGGTGCAGCTTGGGGACCAAAGTCTCGAAAAGCAATATTTGGTGCCCTTATGCTGGCTAGCTATGGATCCCTCAGCTGTTACGACTGCTCTCAAATATGTGCAATGAGTGTGATGAAAAGGCTATGGCCTACATCATCTGCTAGAAAACAAAGGAGAGTCGACATAAAGACACACTGACTATACACCCTGACTGCTAAGTCTTGCCCATGATTCAACACACAAAGGACCTGTAGTGTGTCAACACAGCAAGTTATAGGGGAGTCTGGATCAGGCACAACAGTTTCACTGTGGTTCTACCCAGTCCTACATTTTCCTGCACACATGAAATGCAAACTCAGAACTGTGCCCTTAGATTTTAAGTGGCACGAACTAGACTATATTCTTCAAGTTATTAGAGAGTATACTCAAAGCAGTACAGTTCAGGAGCTGGATGAGAAAAGAAGGGACCAGTACTTTCCAAAACTGCTTTCAAATAATACTTGAACATATACAAAACAACAAAAGGTTACTACCTCCAACAACCATCTAGGTGTAATGCACACATACTTGTTTGTTGAAATCTTAACATGATTTACCACACTGCCCCTTTCGAAAAAGAGACAGTAAAAAGTCATCTCTTACAGAAGGTATTTGCAGGACCAGCCTTAAGCACAAGTATCTTGGTAGCCTTAGGGGCTCACAAAACAACTCCCTCACCACATTAATATAGTGTGGGGAGGAGAAGGGGTGTTGTGAAGCCTGGTTCTTGCCTGGGGCACAGTTGACAAAACAAGTAAAGAACCCACAGGCTTTTAAATAATGCCTAAAGAAAGGGATTTCCGCAGGCCCACAACATTAACTTAACACTTTGTTTCTATAAGAAAAGATCAAGTCATCCCTGACACAGGCTAACAGAAGGGCTTATACACAAATCACACACCCATCAGCAGGCAAGAGGGAGGAAACAGTGGTACACAAAAGGATAAGACAGCCACAACAGTAACACACTGCATGCTCTTCACCTGTTTGAGAGTCCCCGGCCTTCTTTTAATGGTAGCGGTGTTATTGTCAATCTCAAACACAAAGAGAGGCTCAAAGCCATTCTGTCAGGGATAGCAGAGGAAAGAGAGAGGAAAAAGAGGAGGAAGTAAAGTGAGACGAAGAACCATCTTGAGATTCAAAGACAAAGGAACCAGGATACTGGTCTTGGTGACAGGCTCAACAATTCATTCCTAAAATATACTGCTGTAAACTTTTCACTTGGCCTCCATGCTCAACTCTTATTACTGAAATCACAAGAACTTCCCCTCACTAGGACTAATTGCAGCATATAGGGATTGTACAGAGCAGATTCAAAAGAAGAACTGTGCCCTAGATGAATCAGGATATTACAATTTAATGTCTGTATTATGGGTGAATTCAATAATTAAGTATTTAAATACTGAAAAGGACACCCTCTGTCTGATAGTTAGAAAAATCAAAAATACAAGTTACGATATGGCTAAATCCTGCTCACTTTACTCACACAATTATTACTGCACTGCCGTAGTGCTTACAGGTCCTAATTGTGGATCATGGCCCCAACGTACTAGGTGCTGTACACGCAATGAAAAGATGGTCCCTGACCCAAAGAGCATATGATCCAAGTATAAGATGAGACATGACAGGTGAATACAACAAACAGGGTGAGGGCCCAGGCAACCGTGAGAGGACAAATACAGTAAAAAGCAGCGGTCACAGAACAGGTTGAGACCTTGGTATTGTCAATGCAAGTAACCTCAGTTACAGTCAATGGGACTACTTTTGTGAGTAAGGCAAGCAGGATTTGTTTCTACTGTACAATTGACACATGGATAACAACCCCCTTTGACCCCACTCAGAGAACACCGATTTCTCACTCTCATATTTTAGCAAACTTTTAGTCGGTCTAGCTGAAATGAATCAGCAAGATTGAAATTCATCACAGTGTGCACATTTCCGATACTATGGCCTAACTCCACTTGTCATGGAGTCACCTTAATTCACACACATTTAGAAGAAATATACAACTTATCTGTACTACTGTAAGTGCTTACAGGAATAGTATGTGTATCTGTGCATTGTGAGGACAACAGACCTTTATAAAAGGAGAGTGTACAAACAAAATAAAGAACTACAGCTGAAAGTCTACAGCTTTTCACAGATCACAAAATTATGCAAAGTTTATCTTTACAGCAACCATTCTCATGAAGGGCAACATTTACAAAGAGGCCCAAGGAATATATGGTGTGAGACTTCAAAAGAAAGCTGCAAACTTAAGTACCTTTTTCGTTACCACTTTCTGCACATGCAAGAAGAGCATAAAGGGGGGAAAAGCAAACAAACAAAGTTTTCCAATCAACCTGTAGGCATAGGTATGATCATTCTCAGTTCCTTACAAGCAGCTGAAACCATTATTTAGAGCAGCGGTTCTCAGACTGTGGGAACAGGACCACAAAGTGGGTCGGAACCCTGTTTTAATGGGGTTACCAAAGCTGGTGTTAGATTTGCTGGGGCCTGTGGCTGAAGCCGACACCTGAGCCCCACCACCCAGGGTGGAAGACCACACCTAGGGGCTTGAGTCCCGAGCAGCGGGGCTCAGCTTACAGGCCTACACCCATCACCCCGCTCGGGGCGCTGGGGCTTGGGTGTGCTCAGGCTTCAGTCCACCCTCCTGAGGTTGTGTAGTAATTTTTGTTGTCAGAAGGGGGTCATGGTGCAATGAAGTTTGAGAACTGCTGGTTTAGAACAAAAGAAAAGCAACGTCTCAGTTTGCAGAGCTCTGACGTAATGAGGGAAATGCCAAACAAAAGGCCTTTATTATAGTTCTACATAAAACTCCATTGTGTTTAAAATAGAACACTAATCCCATAAAGCAAGAGTAATTGTTAGAGTCTCCACTAGAATAAAATTAGGTACTTTCAAATAAAATTTATCTGCAAGTTCAGAAGTGCACAATAATTACTTAGGTCAAATTCACTAAGATCCATATAATCATGCATAGTTTTTTAAAGCAGAGAAAATAAAAGTAATGTTTATTCTTCCCAAGTCCACCTAGACACAGTTCAGGAAATAAATATAAAGGAAAGAACAGCTATCAAGAAGTGGGAATGAAGCATGTAATGCTCTCTGCATATCAGTGGAAGAAGTATGGAATGTACAAAAGCTAGCTGTGAAAGAAAAATAAATTTGCATTTCCAATCCCTAAAGCGGGTGAAAGTGACAGATGAAGCCTAACTAGAGTTAAAGTAGTTTTAACTCCAATGACAAACAACTCTTCTGGAGCAGACTGATAACTTGCCCAATAGCAAATATCTATTCTTTTTTAGAAACAGTACTGTTTTATAAATGTACATGCTACATTTTATGAAATTTCCATGGCTCAATGTTTCAATTACTCATTAGAAAAAGTTTTCCTGGTTTATATAATCAAAAGGCATAGGTATGATCATTCTCAGTACAAAACAATCTGCAGAACATGATGAACAGTTCATCAGAACTGGTATTTTCAGGCAAAGAGTACTGAATTATTATAATTTAATAATTCTGCAAAATAGTAAAAGAAACAGAATGGGGAAACCAATTGATTTAAAAAATTCCCTATTAGCCTGCCTGTTACTTGGTGACATATACAGATGTGAACATGAGTGAAGATATTAAAAGAAGTCCACAGTGATGAAAGTCCCATTTCTGAAATCTCCATGTGGTTATGTACAGCATATAAAATATAGTAGATTAATTTAATACCTCACCAATAGAACAACAACATCAAATAGAAAAGATTCCCTACAATATGCCTTATAAATATATTCCAAACACCTGAAGTTCACAAAAACTGAATATCAACAACTGAAGAAAAATAACCTTTTCTGTTTAGTCCCGTCCCCCGCTCCCCGATTATACAAGAATAAGTAAATAAGTAAAATATATTCTACTATCAAGTTTCAATTCTCCTGAGCTGCACTTGATAACCTTGCTGTACGCAGGAAAACTCAGGCAGAGAACTGAAGGATATGTAATAAAAAAATTAATCTGAGGCATGCAGTCATGCAATGGCAGGCAGATCTGATGCATTTTCTGTAGGCGATGAAAGGAGAAAACTACTGCATTAACTCAACTCTTTAGTTACTATGAATCTCTCTAAGGTACTATGAAAGGAATAGCATAAAACATGAATGAAGTAGCTCTATTGTTTAAACTTTTTTAAAACATCAAGAACTGGTGATTTTATACACACTTCCACCAATAAACAGTGAAACAGAAGCAAAGAATAATCTGTGACTTGTGAACTTCCTCTTCTGTTACCATAGTCTATGATGACTAAGACCCTATATCCAACAAATCAGACAATGATTGGTAGGCAAACAAGATAAGGCAGGAGGACACATCTCCAAGCTTTATATTAATGTTGTGAAACTAAGTGTTACGTAACGTGCAGGTGAGCCAAATAGAAGGATGTACTAAAGTTGGACTGGTTTCAGAGTAAAAGCCGTGTTAGTCTGTATTCGCAAAAAGAAAAGGAGTACTTGTGGCACCTTAGAGACTAACCAATTTATTTGAGCATGAGCTTGGACTGTTGGACTGTTAATGAGGTAACACAAGAGACAAAGGAGTGAGGTAATATTTTTATTGGACTAACTTCTGTTGGCGAGAGAGACAAGCTTTTAATTTTACAATGAGCTCTTCTTCAGGTAACACTGCATTTTAGAAACTGTTCTCCAGCAACAGTTATATCATTACACTCTTATTAAAATGTTTAGCTTTTGCAAACGTGGGAAAATTTCAGGGTAATAACACTGGATGTATAGCAGCTGGAAGGCAGTGCAAATGTGAATTCAGTAGTATCAGAGTTCATAACAAAATCACTTTGCAGAGAAGATCATCATGTTTTATGCTATTCAGATTAGCTCTAACAAATCTACCTAATCTGAGTGAATCATAACATCATGCTAACTCTATGTTCTAGTTTCTGTCACATAAACAGGCCATTTCGTGCAGGGTTCTTACCACTAACAAGGCACTATCATCAGTGTGCTGAGACCTTCTGGATGGAAAAGGACACTGAGGAGGTGGGAGAGATGGAGGAATGTCAGAAACATACAAACACAATGACATAATATACAAACTCACACAAACATTCTGGAATATGGTGAGTTCCTTTATCTTGATAGCATTTTGGGGCAATTTTGCTATACTGTTTACAACGCAATATAGTATGTGTAACTAAACAATAGAAAATGCATTAATATGTAGTCACATGATCTGTGGATTAGAATGTGTTCGTACCAATTCAAGAACGAATTATTTTATTTTCTGTTGCTGTTCTTTTCCTTACTATGGAATTGCAAGGGAATCCTTAGAAAATACTAAAAATCAGAAGATCAAGTAAGAAAGGAGGAAAAACTATTTAAAACAGTCCAGTTTGCATAATTTTCACATGAAATAGTCAATTGGAAAATGCTTCTCAACTAATTTTTTGCATACTGTAGTCATTACAGCTTCCGATCAGATTAATACTGCCAACTAAAATTATCTTTCAATAGGACAAAAAGCTATTTTATTACTCTGCAGAACTTTGATGTGGAAAAATGAACAAATGCCATTAGATCAGGTCTGCTTTTAAGCCAGGATCTGTGTCAGCACAGTGTGAGACCATTTGAAAAAAAAAAACAAAAACTCAAGTATAATTTAGTTATTAGAATTTAGGTAATAAGAAGAGCAAAACCAAAGCTGGTATTATTTACTGGTAACACAAAAAGTTCTGATGCTTCATTTTCAGGGGGTAATTAGTAATCTAACGATAATGAAATATGTAAAGAAACGGAAGAGAAGACACTAGGACAGAAATGACTGTAACACAGAACAAGTAAGTGCTTATGTTAGTACTTCCAATAGAAAGTTAATTAACCTGCCGCACTGCTTCAAGAAGAATCTTAAATGTAACATGAAGTGTATTATATATAAACACGAAAAGCACCCAAAAGCAACACAACAAAACACACAGAGCACAGAGGAATCATACATGAAAAGGAAGGGAAAATATTCCACAATAAGCAACAAAAAGAAGAATTGTCGTTGTTTAGCTCCTGCACAGTTTTCTTTAAACTAACCACTGACGATTACATCACAAGCAACAAACCGTTTCAACAGAGGGTTCTAAAAATCAGTGATAAAGTCAGCCCACACATTAATACATTTTGCTGCTCTTACCTCACTATCCAGAGGACTTTGCTTCTGAGGACTCTGGGATGCCTTTTGCTGCAGAACAATCAAAGGAATGAGTTAATAGGAGTTGATAGGCAAGCATAAATTAGATAACAGGAATAAAAGAGCAGTATTTAGAGGTGTTTTAAAACACTGGAAGCCTTAATTTTAAATAAAATAGGCACTGAGGAACTTTCAAGTTTTCACTAAACTAAACTTAGTGAATATTCTCAATCTAAAACTTCTACTTCATTTTTAAAACATTTTAATATTCAAGTTATACAAAAAGCCCAAAATATTTTCCCGAACAGGAAGTACTTAGCTGAAGATATCTAATTGCTCATGAACAACAATGTTTTCATTCAGTTCTCTTTAAGTCTAGCAACGATTGTTCTATGAGAGTCAATTGTTTTGGGCACTTGTGTAAGCTCTTTAAACAGTTGTAATGACATGACATTGTTAACAATCATATATGCTACAATTCTGTGGAATTTTAGCACAAAAGCATGGATATGAAATACATCAAGTCTGAAAGGGAGCGGGGCTTGCATCTTTAACAAAGACAGCTCTTCTCCCAAGTGTTGCAAAGAGTCTGAGCTAAACAGGTTTTAATAGAAACCAGAGTTTTGAACGGTCCACTAAAATCCCTTCCTTAAAGTAGCTTCATACAGTACAAAGACACAAAATGACAATCTTCTTCGCTTGCAGGTCATCCTTAATCATAAAGTATAACTGTAGCATTTTCTTTGTGATAGCTAGAGCTGAATGTGGATCATAACAGCAGTGGGTTGAGCTAATCACGGACACAAAAATAGATCTAAGGTGCGGAAATTGGTTAGACCACAGTCCCCTCTCATCTGTACAACCACGTCCTCATCTTCCAAATCTCTCCTCAAAGCCTACTTCTTTCTACAATTTCTCCAACAAGGCTAACCTTATCAAATCTAAATTAGTGAGAAAAGTGATGAACATAATGCACCCTCTGTGAAAACAAGACATTTCGTAACTGTAAACCTCCCTCTCCTCATTTCCTTAATATCATCTCTCCCTGCATCAAGCTATAGTTAAAACTTAGATTGGAAGTTTCCAGGAGCAGAGACTATTTCTTTGTTCTCTCTGTAAAACACACTTATGGCGTGATATACCAATGTTAAATAATAATTAGAACTCTGTCTCTGTCATGGAGGTCGCAGAAGTCACGGATTCTGTGACCTCCATGATTTCTACAGCGGCCAGCTGCTCAGGTGGCCCTAGGGACAGCCACACCGGCCGCTGCTTGGACGGCCCTGGGCAGCTGGCCCCAGGGACTGCTTGAGCAGAGCCGGTTCAGCTGGCCCCGGAGCCACCTAAGCAATGGTCCTGGGGACAGCGGGAGCAGCCACAGCTCGGTGGCCTCAGGCAGTGGTCCCAGGGGCGGCTGGAGCAGCGACGGGGATGTGGCCTTCTTGGGGGCAGCCAGAGAGGCTACTGCTCAGCACCCCCTTCCTCACCCTGCCACCGAGCAGCGGCTCCTCCCGGCCTGCCTCTATAGCCGTCTCTTCCTCAGAGCAAAGGCTCCCCCCAGCACCCCCTAGCTAAGATTGAGTCACGGGTATTTTTAATACAAGTCATGGACAGCTCACAGGCAATAAAGAAAAATTCACAGCCCCGTGACCTGTCCATGACATTTATTAAAAATACCCATGACTAAATGGCAGCCTTAATAATAAGCCACACAATTCAATTTGTGGAGGATCCAGGAAAGGTACATATTAGACATCAAGTAAATACTAAAATGACTTACTTTGACAAAGTCAAGCACAGCATCCCTCTGGATCTGTTTCGTCCTCATCCTGTCCTCCTCATACTGAAGTGCTGCAAGCTGGGCTTCTCTCCGAGTGCGCTCCACTACGTGCTCTCGCCTTCGGTGAAGTTCAGCATCTGTATGAGAGATCTGGAACAAAATAATTATCCACTGCATAACAAAAGAAATGCATTAAGCTGCAAGACTGAAGATAGGTGCAAAGGGAGCAGTGGGGAGATTACAGAGCTGCAACACATGTTTCTGTGGATCAAGTGGGTAAAAGCAAGTTAGTTTGTCAAAAAAGAGAAACACACTCAAAAGAATAAAGCAAAGGTGTACAGTGTATTACCTGATTGTGGTTGCTGGACAGAGACAGAAGGTAAGATGAATCAGCTGGGGCTCTGATAAACAAAAAGACAGCCATACAGAGAATAAGTATACTTCTCTCATTAAATTAAATCATTCTTCACACACCAACGGTCAACAATGATAAGACATCCTAATCAACACTGGATAAATAACTATGTTTTGTAAATTAACACACAAGTTGTTAAATCCAACTGCAGCAATAACGATCCTATATCTAATAATTTCTTATTATATCACAGACAATGGACAGTAGTTTGTGTCACAGTTCCAGTGCAAAACCAAAGTCCTTTTACAGCTGAAAGTGTATTGACAATAGTGTGAAATTTGGCTTATCTCAGAACTATATTCAGAACTTAATAACCACTATCTGACAGCTTTCAGTAAGTTACTTATTTAACTGTCTTTAAGACCTTTTTAGTTCAACCCCATATCAAGAAGCAATTATCAGGCCTATTATTGAGGAGATACTTGATTTTAAAACAGAAATCACATGCTTCTTTTCACTACCTCTCTGCCTTGTCCACATAACTCCTTTGTCCTTGGTGTCGCTCTCTGTCCTGCATCAAGCTTAGTGTTTCTGGTCTTCGTAATTCATCAGTATCCCTGAAAGTAAACACAGATTGGGAGGTTGGTTATTGATGCATAGAAATGGCAAACAAATGTAACTTTTTTTCTAATTATCAGCTGCTTATAAAAGTAAATGACTAAACAGGTAACTTCCGATAACATTCAAGACTAAATTTAAAGATGACCAAAGCAAGGAAGTTCAGATTTAAGGCTAGGCTAACAACTGTTGTAATATATATATAAAAGCACTCTAGTAATATCACTATTGAGTGCAACGATTTTAAAAGGTGCAAAAAGACGGAATTTCTGTTTTAACGCTGACTTCTTGGGTTTTGGAGTGTAGCTAACTCTGGGAAGAGCATTAGTTAAAAAAAAAGTCAGTGAGGAACTTCATTATTCTCTCTCACACTTTTAGAACAAATGTGCTCAGTTCCTTGATCAAAAGATTATTTTTTAACAGTCAGTGTTGCAAACTCCATCTGAGTCCTTTCTGTCTCATATACAAACACAGAAACAGACATCTGTAAAGACCTTAGCTAATAATTTGTTTGCTTGTAAGTGAGGGAGAACAGAACACAACTTGAAACGAATCAATTAAATTAAGTGTCCAGTAACAGTGTCAGTAACAAAAGAAGGTATACGCAAAAAGCATTTGAGTTTTCACTATGAATTGTTCTCTGGTTTAAAACATAAGGCAAAAGATTTTTTAAAACAGGCACTTAAGTAATATACGCAAGACATACCTCCTCAGGTACAAACAAAACTGAGCACGCAAAATATGCAGTTGCATGGGCAAAACAGGTAACTGCATTCAAATGGGTAACTGTACATGTTCCACAAGGATGTATTTTGTGTACACAACTTAAGATGCCTATTTTTAAAATTAAGCTCTATATGTAGGATACTATACATGATGCACCCATTACTGTGTTGGCTGGCAGGAAGAGCACTGTGTCAAGCGAGCAACAAAACGCAAACTCCATATGCAGATCTAAGTAGCACATAGCACTGCTGAATCAGGAACTTTTTACAGACTGCACGCTTGTGCAAGCTGTATTTAACTAGCTACTCTTAAGATGAAGTCTGAATTACGTCTAGCTTTACAAGGGCTTTAATGGCTCCAGTGTGCTTTTTGGGGGGGGGGGGGGGAGGCTTCTTGCCAAGGCATTTACAGAAAATTGTTGTGGGAGCTTACGTGGTTGGCACAAGCAAAATATTCCAGTACTATGAACTTCATTATACAAAAAAAAATATTGATTAATTTTGCATGGTGATTTTTCCTTAATTTTGGAAGCAACAACAATATGGTCTGTTTTTTTAGTAACTTATTAAGAATTCTATTTCACAGCAGTGTAATGAGAATGTGCTGTAATTTAGTTAGATGCTGGATTACAAGCCTCTGCTTAAAAATCGGCTGCCGCCCCGAGTTAAACTTTGAAATCATCTGAACCCTATTGAACTATATAATTTCCTTTATTGTCATTGCAGACTGCCAAGATTTGTATACGTAAATAGAAGGTCTCTCCTGTCTAACTAGACTTGTCTTGTCCTATTTTCTTCAGCTGTGTCATGCAGTCCAATGTTTGTGAAGTCTCATAAGTTATTTCCATGTAAAACACAAATCAAAAGGCGGGTAAAAAGAGTCTTTCAGACCAAGTCATCATTTGTGGAGAAGATGGCAGGCTGCTCTATTATTCAGAGTTTACTGGTGGACACTACAGGGTAAGGAATGCTGACACATGCTGAATTAGTTACCATCTATGATGTCAGTACAGCTGACCCACTAATTGAACATGCACACTAACCGCATGAATCAAAATTCCTTAGAAAAATCTATGAAGGGTAGTTGCTTCCCATGTACATTAACAGCTTTTGAAAAAAAATCTCTTGTTCTTAGTTTCAGTTTCCCTATAATAGCCAGAAGAGATAGGTCCAATTTAAGGGACTTGCCAATTCCATTTCAAAAATTTGCTTCTAGTTAGCGCATACAGAGTGAAGTATCCAAAACCAGTGTGTGTCTTACTCAGAGTTTCTCAAATGCGGCCACCAGGGGCTTCTCTTGTGGCCATTGCCTCCTGGGTGAGGGGTTACCCTTCCCCAGGGCCACCAGCAGGGGCTGGTCTACGTCCCCTTCTGGAGCCACAAACACTGTAGGAGCAGGCGGCCAGCGTGAGTTTCCCACCTTCCTGGTGGGGCTCAGGCTTCAGGCTTAAGCCCTGGGATGGTGGGCGACAGGCTCTGGCCATACAGCAACAGGCTCCATCCCCCAGCTGCAGGAATCCAGGCTCACCCCCCACACATCGCCCTCTGGCCCCCGCTGCCTCCTCCAGTCCCTATCTGTGCACCAGGGCCCCATGCTCCTGCCCTGGGCTCACCTCCCCCATCTCCCTTGACCCCCCCCACTTCCCCATCCAGGGCTTCATTTGTCCCCCAGCTTGCCAGGGCTGAGTAAGTAAGTCTAAAAAAAGAGCAACCAAAAAAAAAAAAAGGCAAAACATGCAAAGCACCTTATTTGTGTTTCTGTTCTGTTTAGGTCCAGTAAAGAATAGGTAACTGTACATTATTTTTAATTATGGAGTCTGCAAAAAAAACTACATAAATTACAAATGATTTGGACACATGTATGTGCATATTTATTTGTTTTTTCTAAAGTTAATTAAGTATTTTAGGAAACACTGTCAGAGCAGCCACCAGAAAAAGTTCGTGGCCGCACTCTGATGCCACCCAAAAGTTTGTTGTGAGACCCCCTGCTCTAATATTACTATATATAGCCAAAACGATTTTTATCCTGCAAGTCAAAAAACAAAACCAACAACTTTCTGCTCAGTCCCTGCATACCCAGTTTTAACCAAAAGCAAAAACCGCTCAGTGACCTATCAAAACTGACAGAACCTTAACTTCAACTGCATTAATGAGGCACTATAAATACACTGAATTATATTTCCTCTCCTTCTGCTCTTGTCTCTGGGCATCCTTCCATTTGACTCCCTAAACCTGAAATACTCTTTATCCTGCCCACCATGTTACCATCCTCACCAACTCTCAGTTTAACACACACTTCTTCCACAACTAGTATAAACCTTACTATTCCAAACGTGACTATCCAAAAAATTCTGTGTAACCCTCAAGAAGCTTGCGTCATTAATTCATTCCAAACAAACATATGATTTTATTGATGTAATCCTTGCTTTCCTTTCCTTCTAATCTCCCTTCCTCCATGGCATTTGAGATTTTGTCTATACTAGAAAAGTGCACTTGTTTCATTTAAAAACTGATCTAACTAAACCATGGAAATGCCTCATATAGATTCACTTAAACCATTTTAATCCTTGCTTATACTGATTTATTTTAAATTCAGAATTTATATAGATTTAGCTTGCATTGATAAATTGCCAATTTAAGCTAAAAATTGATATTAGCATGAGTTAAACCAGTTTAAATGTATTGGAATTTAAGCAGATAGATTTTTAAGTCACTTTAGTTAAACCTGTGAACTTTTGTACTCTAGGCAATATTTTTGTCACCTTACCACATCATTCCTCATTTTAACTAGACTGTAAGTTCCTGGGAGTGGAACAATATCCCGTTTGTAAAGTGTTGCACATTTCTGACTAGGTAGTAGAAAACTGCATCCACTGTTCAATGTCACTCAATGCAATCTGTAATGTCACTTTCAGCTACAATTTCCCCAATCTACAGTATTTTAGCAAGAGAAATGTATGCTCTTCTGCCAATCTGGCCTACTTATGAAAAGAAGAGAAATGTTTATGCAGGTATAAATATCAGCCACAACTTCAGAGTGAAATCATGTGTTGGTTTCGAATTATCATGTAGATCGTAAATATTTCAGAGTAGGGCACCTATCTTACACATCTATAAAGTATCATGGATGCCACCGGCACTATCATGAATAAAGGCACTTTCATCAGGTTCTTCTACCTATTTTGATGGAAGTATCGTCTTGTATCTTCTGTTCTCTGAAAATCTCTGATGGGTACTGGCTTTACTGGTGAGCCCTAAGCAAAACAAAACAGAAGACAATGAAGTTAGTAATGTATCCAGAATGCTGTATGTGCAAGTCTATGAATTTCTATTGTACCAAACTAGGTGTAGGTTCCATCAATTTGTCTAGATCCAAATGTGTGATTACTGGTCATTAAGATGTCTGACAAAGAAACAAAATAAAACACAACCCATGGAAGATATTGGAAATGACGCAGAATCATTTTTGTACCTTGCATATAATTCATTGAAAGTTGAACTTCAAAATTAAGCATACCTGTTGATAAATTATAGTATAAAAACAGAACCAGCAGGCTATGTGGATGTATAAAATAACTAATGTAACTTATAAGTTGTATGGTGTTGGAGACCAAAGTACACATCTACAGTTTTAGCATACTCTATTCCAGGCTCTTTCAGACAATAAGATTCAACAGCTGGTGTTCTGTGATGATACCATATAGACAAACCAGAGAGACAGGAAGGAAAATGTTAGGAAAAAGTCAGAGGAGCTGAATGAAAACACTGGCTGTTCAGTTTTGGATATTAAGTCAGTCATCCTTTTGGGAGCAGGAGTATATTGCCCTTGATGGTCAGTTTTATAAAACTCATCTCAAAATCCATCGGTATTGCCAAATACAGGTATTCAGGGCTAACTTATTAGTACTAATTCACATACAGATGAATCATAGATTCATAGAAATGTAGGCCTGGAAGGGTCCTCAAGAGATCATCTAGTTCCTCCCCCTACCTGGCCCCCTCACCGAGGGAAGATCAAGTATACACAGAAGTGGGCACTGATATACTGAATATAGTTATCTACCCCTTAAAATAGATTAAACCCACTAAAGTGAGATCCTAAAATGTTTTTGGTTGCTTTACCGTTAGAATTAAAAATAAATAGGTGAGCTTTATAAATTAAAATGGTACTCATGTTAGTTTATCTCTAGGATGAACCAATGCATTTTCACTATTAATTTTTAAGAGGTTGTTTAATTTTGTAGAAAAGTTTATTTTGTATCACTAATCTCGCTCCATAAAATTCACTTCTCAATGAACATTTCAAACGGTACACTGTCCCCTTGACTTGATATTGTGTTTGTGGCACTTGCAGAATCAATATATTGTCAATGGAAATCTGGGTCACTGCAGATTTCACTAATGTAAGTAGGGGAATGACAAAGTGGACAAAAATAAGGACACAATTTAGGACTCCTAAAGAGATACTGACAAAATAAAATAAAGGAAATTAAGAAAGAACTTTACCTCCTCAAAGCATTAAAACAACTTATGAAGGAATAGATACATTTTAATTTGAGCACAATGTGTATTGCTTAAGTGCTTCAAGCAAGGTAAAAGATTATCTGAAACAGGTTGCTTATGCAGTATGTAAGATTACCTTTGTGCTGAGACTCCTTTACACCTACACACAGGGGGATGAATTTAGATTAGCATGACATAGAGAAGGAAATATCACATTGCTTAATGCTTCCTGAATTTAATTTTTGTTTTATCCAGAACCTTTACAATTTTCCACTTCCTTGTGTCCAGACGGTCACAGCAGGGATCAGTTTCTCTTGCCTTATGTATAACAGTAGATGTGATAACCAAAACAAAGGTGTTTTCCAGTTGCAGGGAGTCATACAGTTTTAAAGAAACAATCATGGAATTTTGGTCAAGTGCACACTAATCTATATTCGATCACAAGGTACTAAAATTAATCAAGGTCTCAAGACAATTGCATTGTAACTGTGTCGGAGTGATCACCCCTCCCCTCAATGCTATCATTAGGAACTAGAAAAAGAGCAGTAAAAGCAGCAAATAGTAACAAATGACACTACAAAATATGTAGCAAATTAGGGGAAAGCAAATAAGAACCACTTCAACCCATTCTGGTGAAATGAGTGCTTGTGGTCTGACCCACAATGCAACTTAAAATGCTGCTGCTGGACTAGTGAGATCGCTCAGATTTCTGAAGTGTGCCATTCCAGCTCAAATACCACAGACTGCCTTTAAAACAGCAGGCCACTCAAGGATAGAAACAAAAAGTACATTGTTCAGGTTTGTCTGCAATGACGACAAAGAATATGGTTTTTAAGACAAAAAAAAGCTATAACCTAAGGATGCTTAGTTTTTAGCCATTTGTAATCAATTCTCCTAACAGGTTTTTAACAAACTTTAATTAGCCCTATTTATTGCCCATTTACTGTATCCTGGGATTGACCTCATAAAAATACTGTGTCACACAGTTAAACACGGAATTTTTGCTCAAAACTTTGTGGATATGCATTCCCAGTTTGTATCCCTGGTGATTTTACAGAGCATTACTCAAGATGTTAACATGGAGCAAGCCATCATCTATTACAAAATATCAGACTTTATAGCAAATCCTCTTTTTCATTTAAAATCTGCAATTACAAGGGATGCCCAGTCTGGTAAATGTATTGGCATTTAATTTACAATCCATAGGAAAGCCCCACCAAATTAACATAGCTGAAAGATCCCTATAATAAGTCCTTGTGCTGGCAGAGAGCAAGACATTTGCTATGTTTTGACCTCAAACAAGACAGCATTTACTAGGTATTACCAAATGAAGGAGACATGAGTGGTTGCCTGGGTGCAAGCATGTATGGGAAGCATCAACTTTAATATTTTCTGAGGGAAGGGTTCCTTTGGGAACCCCATTTACTCCCCCCACATCCTGCAGGAATTTTGCCTTTGAACAGAACTCAATACAGCTGCCCGTAGAACCATTCTGAGTGTCTGAGCCAAGTGTAGTTTGTAGCAGCTCAGGACTCAAACTCAGATCCTCCACAAGGCAAAGCTTGTTGCTCCAAGCCAGCTGTCACATTGTGTACCAAAGTAAACCTCTACAGACAAGAAATATTAACACCATCACAAAGACTTTCATTGGTATATGAACTTAACTAATTTAAATAAAAGCACCACCTCATGAGAGATTCGCCGTTGTTCAATATATGCCATGAACTGTGAGCTGAGGCTCTCTGACTCCATGCACTTGGGTTGCCTCACCTCTTCCTCTTCCTCTTCAGTGGCACAGCTATCAATATAGTCAATCTGATCCAGATCATGTTCCACTAGACACACATACACAAAGGAAACACCCAAAATTAGATGACCAGTGGTAGAAAAAACATAGCAGCAGTCTCAGCAACTAATGTCTGATTTCACTTTTCCTCCACCTGGGAAAGCTTAAGCTGACATCTTTTGAGTTATGCCTGGTTCACTAATATTTGTTAAATGTCAGATTTTGAAATAATCTTAAACAGATTTAAAATCAATGAGGAAAAATATTCCAAATGTAACAATTTAAAAGATATGATTATATGTAGTTTCTTAATTATTGCAAAAACAATGTCATACTTCCCAATTCATTGTTAACAAAGGCCATTGGCTACAATTTTTACTTCTGTATCATGGACATATCTGAGAAGCAAGCAATTACCAGCAATTTACAACCAAATAAACATATCATTAGAGTATACTGATTAATTTATCTAGGCTCCACTTCGCTGCATACTTCCTCATTAATAAAGGCAGCTGAGGAGAGCCTAGGTAAACACTTGCGCAATATGAAATGTCAGACTCTAGACAGAGTCTGATGACAATAAAACAGAGAATAGCGTGACCAAGTTAATTGCATGAGGTTGCTTTAAATATGAAAAAGGTATGTGGTAAAGAAACAGACAACAAAGAAAGCAATACAAAAAAAAACTCAGGCTACAGACATTTTATTAACCAAAGAGGAAGGAAGGAATTAAAATCAGGGAACCACTGAAATTAAATGAGTATGAAGCACAGGGTACAGTTCTGCTCTCATTTCTGCCCATGGCCATGTTGCTATCTGGGGCATTTTTTATTCATCACTGCTTTTGTAGGTTTCTGCCCACGGATTTCAAGTGTCATGACATTAAACAAACAGCCTAGTGAAAAGCACTGTGCTAACAGATCGGACATCCAGAGTCAAAAATACCCTGAGGACTTCCATCTCCCTTTCTCCCCGCCACCCTTCCACACTAGGTCTTCATGTCCCACACTTCATCATCTCTTATCAGAAAGCTCGTGTTAGCACAGATGAAGATGACATGGGGAAAGAGAGGTGATTAAGAGGGGGGTCTAAATGCAGGTGTTTTGAAAAGGATATCACTCAGGATGAAATGGCAGGCACTAGTTCAACTCGGATTACCTACTTCAAACATTATTGCTTCCTTGTTTTTAAAATCCTGCAAAAACTTGCTCCTGCCTTTCCCCCGTATATTATCACTCTCTATTCCCCATTCCTCCTTGTCTAGAACAGGCCTCCTTTGCCTCACCACACAATCTGGCTACTGTAAGTGCTAGAACCATCTCCTCTGAAACTCCAGCCATCCAAAACAGCTTCCCTGGATCTTTCTGCCTCATTGAATCTCCACCTCATTTAAAATCTTAAGTGAAAACCTCTTTTCTCCCTTAGCTATTTAAATTTAATTTATCTCACTCTCCATTAATATTATTTAACAGCTGTGTTAACTCTAAAGCATAATGAAAAGACCATGTGTGTGAAAAACCAGTTAACAAGAAGTTGATACCATAAGCAGGGCTGGTAGCACTGTTTGGTACTAAGGCTGCGAGACGCTTCCTATGTAAAATCTGTTTTCAGTTGTTCATAACTTTGCCAAACTGTCTTTACTGAAATTTTGCATGATGGGTGTCTACCACAGGGGGAAGAAAATTAATTTTCAGACAAAATGGCTCAGCCGTTTATGAGAATGAGGCTAGGGAAAAATATATTGCAGTAGAAGGAAGAGATTAGAACAAGGACCTGGTGGAGAGAGGGAAGAGACTGAGACTAGTGGATGGAGAACTGGGGTGGGAAGATTGGGACTGGCTGGGAAAGGAGATTGGGACTGGGAGAAGACTGAGATCAGATGAGGAGCTTGGGGAGGAAGACTGGGACTGAGAACCAGTGGGGTGGGGGGAGACATCTGATGTGGAGCCAAGGTGGTGGTGGTGAACTGGGAATGACAGAGAGAGACTGGGACAAGAAACTGGGGGAAACACAGAATAGAAGAGGAACCTAAGGAGGGAGAATGAGCTGGGGAATATGGGTGAAGAGATATTCTTGGAGGCCAAGATGGAAGAGAGAGAGAATTCAGAGAAGAGAAAAGGAGCCCAGGATTACCAAGTCTGAGGAGTGGCAACTGACTGAGTAGACAAAGAGAATAGAACAGGCACAAGAAGCCAGGGGTGGAGAAGAGACAGGCCTGTGATAGGCACGGGTTGGAGGGGAGACAGCAGAAGGAGTCATACTGGGAGAGGGGGGCCGGTGAGACACAGAAGGCTCTGTGCCCGCTAGAGAACACCCCCCTCCAGAGCCTGGAATGGAACCCAAGATTCTTGAGTCTCACCATTCCTCTGCTGTTAGCAAATAGCTGTGAAAACCACCGACAAAGTGTCCCATCCCCCTCTAGTGCTGGTCCTCACAGAGGATGACAACCTCCTACAGTTATCAGTTACTCTGTCAGCTCAAGTGGCAGAGGTCTGTGCTCCAGATCTAAAGATTCCAATCCTGCAGATGACTCATGAGTGTGTCAATATCATGAAAAAGCAGCATGTGATCACGTAATTAAAGATGGTATCATAATGCATACGCAGAAAGGGGCTGAATTAAGGTTGCACAAGCAACCTTACCTTTGGTCTTTTCTAACTTTTCAGTGCTTGATTTTGGAACCCTAATAATGTTCTTTAAATGTAATTTGTGTGTGCAATTATAAATATATTAAGCCCCCACCACTTCTTTCCTTTAAAACAGCAAATTACCTATAACTGCCAAATATACATTTTGGAGCTTCAGTTATAACAACCAGCTGAATAATTAGCTATCAAAGACTGCTATTTACCTCCACCATTAGTTACAACAGTGCTCCCTCGGTTTTCCTGGTACTCTCTCTCTCTTCGCAGTCTCTGCTCTTTAGTGATCTCTGCCACTCGCAGAGGGAGGTCTGAGAACTCATCTGTAGGCTTTATAAAACAGACAAAAAAAAAAAAACACTCTCTCATCCTGAGCATCATCTTTCAGTTAGTTTTCTAACTTGAGCCTCCACTCCACCTGTCCTGCTGCATTTTGCTCCCTAAAACTATTAATTTAAAAGAGACACAACTGAAATGTACTGTTTTTAAAATAAGGTCGATTTAGGACCTCTCTTCCATGAAGAGTCTGTCTATAGTTTTAAATTTATTTTCCCTCTGAAATGAATGCATATGCTAAAAACATTCCAGGCTGGATTTTGAAGGCCCTTGTAAACACCAGGCTAGGAGCACAGTTCGCAAGAGCACCCCAGGCCTGGGTTGCAGCCATTTGCACAGCCTCCCCAAGAGGACAGAAGAAGCTGGCTCCTGTTTCTTCTTCCCAGTACCCTTCTTCCTTGGAGATCAGGTCTTGCTTCTTCTAAATGGTAAAGTGACAATCTATTTGGCCATTTGAAAAAGCTACATATAAAATCTTATTTGGAAAATCTGTGTTCATTTAAAATCTCTGTTTACCTGATTTTATTTTAATGAAACAGAAGCTCTTGAGTAATGGATAAAGATAAGCTATGCTAATATAATACAATAAGTAGCTCATCTTTTGTAAGTTTTCTTATCACTTGTTTATATTAATTCATTTCTACAAAGTGCTCTTCTGTATTTTCTCTTGGGTTTACACTTGTATTTTGATTTTTAAAATGTTTCAATAAAAAATATTAGTAAAAGAACAAAAGATTCATTTAATATAAAAATGGTGCTAATTCTTTTTCCAGGAAATCAACAGTAATCTGTGAACTATGGAAATTACATTTTTTATTATACATAAGCATCACTCCTTGAATATTCTTCCAAATCTATGCCTTCATTATTTGTTTCCTGTACAAGTATTGCCACCCAACAAAAATAAAGCAACTACACTTACTTCGTTCCCTGACCATCTTTTGTCTCCGCTGTCCACACTATTGAAACCAGAATCTAGTGCTCCATACGGACGACTGGAGTACAGTTCCTCATGGCTGTCAAGCAGATAATTTTAGTCACTATAACATAAATGTCACTGAAAAATTCTTACTCGTGACAGAGCTGAAAATGGAATTAACTATTAAGCAGAGCTGAGCGGTGTCCACAACACGTTAGAAGTTGTCACATGGCATTCACCATGCATAATACTTTCTAAGAGGGTATATTCTTCCAACTACAAACATTCCCATCTGTTAGCCAGCTGACATGATGCAGCTGCCTTATGCTTTCAAGAGCTGATCTAAGCTTATGGCCCAAACAATTCTGACAAATGGTTTTTTTGTTGGCAAACTGACCTATTAAATTCTCCTTTAGCAAGTCAGTTCATTTTATGTTACTCAGGTGTTTTAGTTGAATGACTCTTCCCAACCCCCAAACCACTTTTTCCCCATAGGGAATCACACAACCATACATTTATTACACATACATAGAAACGTATAGGAATGAGCATGCGCCTCTTTTAGGAGAAGTATGACAACAATCAAAATGTATACTTAATGCATGATACAGAAAAGAGATGTATAGTTAATCTAAAATACTCCATAAAATACACCACACATTTCAAATGAAATATATCACCTCTTGAATGATATACAAATTTAGTTTTAACTCATTAAATTGACTTGTCAACGACTTGCCTAGACACAGACATTACATATGTGCAATGAAGGGATGAAAATATAAACCATAACATAAGGGGTTGTATGCTGCTTTTCCTGCTCTAAGTGGGTACAGAGACTACACAGTTCAGCAGCGTGGCCATCACAGATGTTGAATCTGGCAACTGCTGCAGTTAGCTACAGCAGCAGTATAACAATGGGACTTGTCTGATCCACTGCAGATAGCATTTCACAACGGATCAACTGTCCTGCTGGCACTTGATGCCTGAGGGAAAACTGCAGCAAACAGCAATTACTGCATAATACACTAGAAAGAATTTCAGGAAGCTGATTGCTCCACACAAGCATAGCTAATTGTAGGTCATTCTCTCACTAGTATTGATCTCTAGTTGTCCCTCTGTTTAAAAATCCCTCATCCAGGAAACAATTATTTTTAAATGACTGTTATTACTATTATTTATGCAGCACCATAGAGTCATGGTGCTTTACAGAAAAAAGTGACAGGCTACAGTCCTGAGGAGTTTGCAGTCCTAGTTAGACACAAGGGGTATGTTTACACTGCAATTAGACACCCATGGCTGGCCCAGGCTCCTGGAACTCAGGCTAAGGGGCTGTTTAATTGCGGTGGACATTCAGGCTCAGGCTGATGCCCTAGCTCTGGGACCCTCCCACCCCGCAGGGTCCTAGAGCCTGGGCTCCACCCCAAACCTAAATGCCTATACTGCAACTGAACAGCCCCTTAGCCCGAGCCAGCTGGCACAGGCCAGTCATGGCTTTTTAATTTCTGTGTAGACATACCCAAGGAGAGGTTTCAGAGGAACAGCCGTGTTAGTCTGTATTCGCAAAAAGAAAAGGAGTACTTGTGGCACCTTAGAGACTAACCAATTTATTTGAGCATGAGCTTTCGTGAGCTACAGCTCACATCACAATGTGCCATAATGGTGGTTCTTTGAGACGTGTGTCCCTGTGGGTGCTGCACTTCAAGTGTGCTTATACCACTTGTGCCTTTGATGGGAGATTTTTGGTAGCAGTACCCATTCAGGCCAGGCATGCAACTCTATGCTTCCTTATGCCCTGCTCTAAGGATACATAAGGCTACACAGGTGAACTGCCTTCAGTTCTTTCTCCACTGCCAAGTCCCCAGAGGAAACTCCAAAGCAGAGGGGAACGAAGGCAGGTAACAGAGCACCCATGCGGACACACACAGTGAAGAACTCGTTACTGCACAAGGCAAGCAACTTCTTCTTTGAGTAGTGTCCCTCTGGGTGCTCAACTGCAATTGACTACCAAACAGTTCCCCCAGCTGCACGGGGGGCTCTGGAACCAAGTCCAAGATTGAACACAATACAATACAGCATTTCCAATAGCAGCATCTGATCTAGAAGACTGGACCACTGCATAATGCTTGGAGAAGATACATATGGAAGACCAAGTGGCAGCCTTACAGATGTCCAGAGCAGAAACATTCTTGAGTAATGCCGTAGAAGTAGCTACAGATTTTATGGAATGGGCCAACGCCCTTGAAAGAGCTGAATATATGAAGTTATAGCACAAAAGGACACAATCAGAAATCCACCTGGAGTGTCTCTAAATCGCTGTGCCTTTAGATCTATCAGCAATAGTCACGAACAGTCTGCTTGACCTCCTAAATGACTTAGCCCTTTCCAAATAAAAGGCTAATGCACGTCTAACATCCAGAGTGTGTAAAAAAGGCCTTCACTCTGGACTGATGAGTCTTTGGGGGGAAAATGGATAATCTCGTTGATATGACGCTCATATGACACCTTAGGTAAAAATTGTGTGTGTGGATGTAACAAAACTCTGTCCTTGAAAAACACTGTAAATGGAGGATCTGCCATTACAGCCCCTATTTCTCCAATCCCACAAGCAGAGGTGGTAACCACCAGAAAGACAAATCTTCTGAGATAAATTAATGAGGGAAGAGGTAGCCGTTGGCTCAGACGGGGGCATAGGGCATCAAAGTACTGCATTCAAATCCCAGGTAGGAATGCATTTCTAAACTTGGGAGAAAGTTTCCCAATCCTCTCAGAATCTTACAGTTGCAGGATGGGTGAAGAGTTAGAATCCCTCAACTGCTGAATGAAAGGCTGTTACCGCTGCCAAGTGCGCACTGATAGAGCTCATATAGAATCCTAACTTTTTCAACACTAGGAGGTAATCAAGGATGATCGAGGGGGAAGAATGAACAGGTACAACACTTCTGGACACACCACATGCTGAATCTTTTCCACTTGTGGAGGTAAGTGTATTTCGTGGAATCTTTCCTACTGTTCAGCAATGCCTGTTGCACTTCCTTAGAACAAGTCAACTAATGCCTCATGACGCATTGACAAGCCAAGCTTTGAGGCAAAGTATCTTCAGGTTGGGATGAAGAATGCAGCTGGCATCCTGAGAATGAAGACAAGGAATGGATGAGAGTCTGACAGCTTGACAGAGGGCTAGGTGAATCCGGTAAGGGTACCATATCTGCTTGAACTCTGTTGGGATTACTAATACAATTCTGGTTTTGTCATGCTTTATCTTCTTGATCACTTTCAGAATCAGGAGTGTTGGAGAAAATGCACATGGAAGGCCTCGTCCATGGAACGAGAAAGGCATCTCTAAAGAGAGAGGAAACCACTCCGCCCCTTAAACAAAAGCGTTTGCATATCTTGTTGGTCACAGTGGCAAAGAGGTCTATTTTTGGAACTCCCAAGTTCAAAAAATGTTATTGAGAATCTGAGGATCCTACTTCCATTCATAGTACTGGAAAAAGTGCCTGCTGTTGTCTGCTAACCTGTTTGTAGTTAAGGCAAGTTGCTGAAATAAGTTTGCAGTTGACTGTCCACCAGTTCCAGAGCTTTATTGTTTCAGTACAAAGGGAAGGGTACCTGGCCCATGCCTCTCAGCTGATGAAGAACGTACAAGCTATGTTGTCCATGAGAATCTTTATGTTTTTTTTCCTGATTAAAGGCAGGACATAGATACAGGCATTCCTGAGTTCCCTCTGTTTGAGGCGGTTGATATGTAGTTTGTCTCTGTTGGGCAGAGCATTTGCCCTGAATGGTGAGGGTCCCCAAGAGTACTGTCCCAGTTCATCATAGATGCATCCATTGTTATGATGATAGAGGGAGGAGACTGAACAAATGGAATCCCCATGCAGACATTGTCTAGGACCCTCCATCACTTGAGTGGAGACTAAGACCTGGCGAGGAACCGACAATAACTTGTTCAAGTTGTGTTTGGAGTATAAACAATCTTGAGGTAGCCCTGGAAACATTGTAATGGTATGTGCCAGACTCCATCTTTGAAGGTGAAGGCTGCTATATGTCCAAGTAATTGAAGACAACTTCTTATTGATGTCTGTAGGCTGATTTAATGTTTGAGAAGATTTCCTAACATTGAGCATCTGTTGGAGAGGAAGATAAGCCCCGGCTGGTGTAGCATCCAATGAATGCCTGTGAACTCTATTCTTTGTATGGGGCTCAAAGGGGATTTCTAGATGTTGAGCTTAACCCTAGATTGGGGAACAAAGATCTCATTGTCTTTACAGCATCAAAAACCTCATTGTAGGACCAGCCCATGACCAGCCAGTCATCGAGGTATTGACAGGAAGCCCTCCACATGACTACTGCTGTAGAGCAGCAGTGTTGGCTGCATCCAATAAGGCCTTTAGCTTTATTTTAGTTAACAGCTGACGCTCGTCAATAATAACCTGAAACTGGTCACACTCCTCAGCCAGCAAATGCTCAGTAAAGGTTGTGAATTTGGTAAAACTTGAATGACTGTATTTAGCCATGACAGCTTGATAGTGTGTGATGCTAAATTGAAGAGTCACAGATGAGTAGGTCTTTCTGCCGAGTAGATTAAGGCATTTTTGGTCCTTATCATATGGTGTGGTCTTTGCACAATGTTGTTTGCCATGTTTTTTCACTGCCTCCACAACCAGGGAGTTCAATGTTGGATGGGTGAACAGAAATTCGGAGTCTCTAGCTGGGACATAATATTTTTCATGGGCCCTTTTACAAGCTGGTGGAATCATTGCAGGGATCTGCCAGATGGATTTGGCAGGATTCAGAGCCTCATTAAGAGGCAGAACAACTCAGGTGGAGGGAATCCATTGGAGGATATCTAGGAGCTTATGTTATGACTCTCTGACCTCTTCCAAGGGATCTGGAGGGAATCCGAAATGTGCTTCATTAACTCTTGGACGTGTCTGAAGTCATCAGTCATAGTTGGTTGGAGAGGCATAACCGCTTCATCTGGGGAAGATGAAGAAATATTTGTTTGGGGAGAAACCTCTTGATCTGTCCTGGCCTCCTGCTCTTCAAAGGATTCTTGTGCCTGAGGTAACAGAAGAAAAGCAGTTGGTGTAC